AACCAGGGTGCAGTATGGCACTGATGAAACAATAGTATTTCTCTGGTTCCTTGAGGCTCCGTCATGCCCCACTATCATGACCCCAGTCCTGCCTTTCACTTTGGGCTAGAGTGGGTTGCAACCCCTTTGGGGGGTCAAACGACCCTTTAACAGGGTCTCCTGATTCATAACAGTAGCAAAATTACAGTTATGAAGTAGCAACAAAAATAATTTTATGGTTGGGGGGGTCACAACATGAACTGTATGAAAGGGTCACGGCATTAGGAAGGTTTAGAGCTCAGGACATACAGAATCCAGGTCAGATAAACTCCTCAGCACCACAAATGGGAGTAGTGATACTAGGAGGGGAAGGTAGGGATAGGAGGGGAGGAAGGGGGAACCCATCGCAATGATAGACACATAACCACCATCACCCCACCCGACCGAGGGAGACAACAACAGAAACCATGGGGGGAGACAGCAGTCGGTGTAATATATGAAAATAATAATAATTTATCAGGGGGCATGAGGGTGGGAGGGATGGAAAAAAGAGGAACTGATACCAAGGGCCCAAATAAAAAATGTTTAGAAAATAATGATAGCAACATATGTACAAATAAGTTAGATACAATTGATGAATGGATTTTTATAAGAGGTATAAGAGCCCCCAATAAAATGATCTTTAAAAAAACCCCAGAAATCATATATATATACTTATAAAGTACAGTGAAATAAAATGTAAATTAACCATTAGAGGATCAAATTGGAATTTGCTTTCCAAATATGAGCATACTGGCATAAAATACTTATCGCTTTTAAATTTGTACTAGTATCCTAAATATCTCTAATATTTCTAAGAGTCATTTCCCAAATATAGTATTCACCTATGAAGTTCAACAAAAGGTTATTTACAAATATATTCTGCTAGCTCTAATTTTCATCATACATAAATCATAAACTCTATACATCCCCAAAGACTAGATGTTAAAGCAAAGATTTACTTTACAATATCAGGAAAAAATTCACTAATTTTCTCTTTGTATATAGGACAGTAAACAGAATATGTATATTTATAATCAGAATTTCTGTATTCATTAAA